CCCCGACATGGAGCCGATCGAAATCGGGAGATGCAAAGAGAGCTAAGGGACTACCGAGAGAGGGACCATCTGCTAGTTCGAAACTGTGAGTTCTCCTCAGCGATAAGCCCGGTGTTCCAGCCCAGGCGGTAGCATCCGGGCATGGAGCCAACGGGACGAGGGTCCTCGCTAGAAGTCAAGGAGGGGTCACTCACGAACAATCTGCTATCCTCGGACTCCTAACCCACCTCCTCGATAAGCCCGGTGTTCCAGCCCAGGCGGTAGCATCCGGGCATGGAGCCAACGGGACGAGGGTCCTCGCTAGAAGTCAAGGAGGGGTCACTCACGAACAATCTGCTATCCTCGGACTCCTAACCCACCTCCTCGATAAGCCCGGTGTTCCAGCCCAGGCGGTAGCATCCGGGCATGGAGCCAACGGGACGAGGGTCCTCGCTAGAAGTCAAGGAGGGGTCACTCACGAACAATCTGCTATCCTCGGACTCCTAACCCACCTCCTCGATAAGCCCGGTGTTCCAGCCCAGGCGGTAGCATCCGGGCATGGAGCCAACGGGACGAGGGTCCTCGCTAGAAGTCAAGGAGGGGTCACTCACGAACAATCTGCTATCCTCGGACTCCTAACCCACCTCCTCGATAAGCCCGGTGTTCCAGCCCAGGCGGTAGCATCCGGGCATGGAGCCAACGGGACGAGGGTCCTCGCTAGAAGTCAAGGAGGGGTCACTCACGAACAATCTGCTATCCTCGGACTCCTAACCCACCTCCTCGATAAGCCCGGTGTTCCAGCCCAGGCGGTAGCATCCGGGCATGGAGCCAACGGGACGAGGGTCCTCGCTAGAAGTCAAGGAGGGGTCACTCACGAACAATCTGCTATCCTCGGACTCCTAACCCACCTCCTCGATAAGCCCGGTGTTCCAGCCCAGGCGGTAGCATCCGGGGATGGAGCCAACGGGACGAGGGTCCTCGCTAGAAGTCAAGGAGGGGTCACTCACGAACAATCTGCTATCCTCGGACTCCTAACCCACCTCCTCGATAAGCCCGGTGTTCCAGCCCAGGCGGTAGCATCCGGGGATGGAGCCAACGGGACGAGGGTCCTCGCTAGAAGTCAAGGAGGGGTCACTCACGAACAATCTGCTATCCTCGGACTCCTAACCCACCTCCTCGATAAGCCCGGTGTTCCAGCCCAGGCGGTAGCATCCGGGGATGGAGCCAACGGGACGAGGGTCCTCGCTAGAAGTCAAGGAGGGGTCACTCACGAACAATCTGCTATCCTCGGACTCCTAACCCACCTCCTCGATAAGCCCGGTGTTCCAGCCCAGGCGGTAGCATCCGGGGATGGAGCCAACGGGACGAGGGTCCTCGCTAGAAGTCAAGGAGGGGTCGCTCACGAACAATCTGCTATCCTCGGACTCCTAACCCACCTCCTCGATAAGCCCGGTGTTCCAGCCCAGGCGGTAGCATCCGGGGATGGAGCCAACGGGACGAGGGTCCTCGCTAGAAGTCAAGGAGGGGTCACTCACGAACAATCTGCTATCCTCGGACTCCTAACCCACCTCCTCGATAAGCCCGGTGTTCCAGCCCAGGCGGTAGCATCCGGGGATGGAGCCAACGGGACGAGGGTCCTCGCTAGAAGTCAAGGAGGGGTCACTCACGAACAATCTGCTATCCTCGGACTCCTAACCCACCTCCTCGATAAGCCCGGTGTTCCAGCCCAGGCGGTAGCATCCGGGGATGGAGCCAACGGGACGAGGGTCCTCGCTAGAAGTCAAGGAGGGGTCACTCACGAACAATCTGCTATCCTCGGACTCCTAACCCACCTCCTCGATAAGCCCGGTGTTCCAGCCCAGGCGGTAGCATCCGGGGATGGAGCCAACGGGACGAGGGTCCTCGCTAGAAGTCAAGGAGGGGTCACTCACGAACAATCTGCTATCCTCGGACTCCTAACCCACCTCCTCGATAAGCCCGGTGTTCCAGCCCAGGCGGTAGCATCCGGGGATGGAGCCAACGGGACGAGGGTCCTCGCTAGAAGTCAAGGAGGGGTCACTCACGAACAATCTGCTATCCTCGGACTCCTAACCCACCTCCTCGATAAGCCCGGTGTTCCAGCCCAGGCGGTAGCATCCGGGGATGGAGCCAACGGGACGAGGGTCCTCGCTAGAAGTCAAGGAGGGGTCACTCACGAACAATCTGCTATCCTCGGACTCCTAACCCACCTCCTCGATAAGCCCGGTGTTCCAGCCCAGGCGGTAGCATCCGGGGATGGAGCCAACGGGACGAGGGTTCTCGCTAGAAGTCAAGGAGGGGTCACTCACGAACAATCTGCTATCCTCGGACTCCTAACCCACCTCCTCGATAAGCCCGGTGTTCCAGCCCAGGCGGTAGCACCCCGGCATGGAGCCGATGGGAGACGCGTCCACGCCTGGTCGGAGTTACCAAGAGCCGGGGTGGGGGGCGGGGAGGAGGGGGGGAAGCCGGGGGGGGGGGGGGGGAGGGGAGAGGGGAAGGAAAGGGAATTCTTGGTTGAGGGAAAGAGAGGAGTGCTATTGCAGTGCCAAACGAGGGCGGCAGGTGCAAGCTGCATTTGTTTCCCATATTTCCTTGTACGATTCGACTAGGAAAGAACAAGCCTCTCCGTTAGTAATTGACGGAACGTCTCTCTCAGGAACGGCGAGCGGCTTGTAGCGGAAGTAGTGCATGGAATCACAGCTCTACTTTCACAGGAGATACCCTCATGAATGAAGAGGGAAATTACCCTCATGAATGAAGAGGGAAATTACCCTCATCATGGGTGAAAGGGGAAAATACCATCATGGGTGAAGGGAGGAAATTACCCTCATGAATGAAGAGAGAGATTAACCTCATCATGGGTGAAAGGGGAAAATACCATCATCGGTGAAGGGAGGAAATTACCCTCATGAATGAAGAGAGAAATTACCCTCATCATGGGTGAAAGGGGAAAATACCATCATCGGTGAAGGGAGGAAATTACCCTCATGAATGAAGAGAGAAATTACCCTCATGAATGAAGAGAGAAATTACCCTCATCATGGGTGAAAGGGGAAAATACCATCATCGGTGAAGGGAGGAAATTACCCTCATGAATGAGGAGAGAAATTACCCTCATGAATGAAGAGAGAAAATTTCCCTCATCATGGGTGAAAGGGGAAAATACCATCATCGGTGAAGGGAGGAAATTACCCTCATGAATGAAGAGAGAAATTACCCTCATCATGGGTGAAAGGGGAAAATACCATCATCGGTGAAGGGAGGAAATTACCCTCATGAATGAGGAGAGAAATTACCCTCATGAATGAAGAGAGAAATTACCCTCATCATGGGTGAAAGGGGAAAATACCATCATCGGTGAAGGGAGGAAATTACCCTCATGAATGAAGAGAGAAATTACCCTCATCATGGGTGAAAGGGGAAAATACCGTCAGGGGTGAAGGGAGGACATTACCTTCATGTATGAAGACCGGCAGGATGAAGTTGGCCGGGGTGACGAACGTCTCCTGGAACGAACGTCTGAGAGAACCAGGCGCACCATGATGTAACGCACCCGCCACAAATACACCAACTCACCCTCATGGATGAAGAGAGGGAGGATGAAGTTGGCCGGCGTGACGAACGTCTCCTGGAACGCCTCCCTCAGGAACGGCGACCGGCGGTTGCGGCGAGGCCGCGAGATAAGGTTCTGCCAAGAACACCCACACACAGCGCTAGTCTAGTATTGAGACGCCTCATAACGAGAACGGAGACCGGCGGTTGTGACGAGGCCGCGAGATAAGGTTCGGTAACAACCACCCACGCACAGCACACTCACCGCCTTATGTCCCTATTCCCGAATGTTTTCTTTTTTAAATTCCTCTGGCGGCATCGGTCTTTAGTAATGATACCAGGTATCCCTCCAGATACCGTTTAATAACGGAAATAACGAAAAAAAATGTCGAAACGACGGCGACTGGAAACGAATGATGAGGCAGGAATTCAAGATTCTCGGAAAGGAAAGGCGAGGAGAGGAGGAGATCTCCGCTACGGCAGACTGGAAACGAATAATGAGGCAGGAATTCAAAATTCTCTGGTAGGAAACAAACCAGCGGCTCGACGATCGGCGTGCCCTTGGGAGCTGCTGGGCGGGGCTTGGCGGGGGGAGCGGGGGGAGGGTTCCCCGCAACCACGCGCGCTTCCGCCTCCTCGATCGTCAGCTTCTTAGCGGCCGGCTCCGCAACCGCTCGGACGGCGAAAGTCTTCGCCTTGGCCGTCTGCTGAACGGCGGCTTTGGAGGAAGAAGCCTGGGAGGTCTGGTTCTTCCTCAGGCCGGTGAATGCGGGGACGGTGCACTTGGCAACGGCAGCCATGGCTGACGATTTCCTCGAATCTACCTCAAGGATACGAGAAGACTACGCCGACGTTAGAGTCGTAAGCGAAGCTTGCAGGTAAGTAAGGAGGGAATCTAACTCTGGCCTGACTGACCTTGCCAAGCTGAGAAGAAGACAAGCAGAAAAAAATGGCCGGAAAAAGAGGGACTTCAGGTATTTTCAAGGGGATGGATATTCCTGCTTCTCATTCCAAGCCTCTCCAGATTTCAAAAATCTACGCTTGCGCCGGCCCCATGGGATAATGCGGTTAGGAGGAAGTAACTTAGGTGGGGTAAGGCGGAAAGAAGTCAAGTGGGGTTATGCGGAAGTGAGTTCCGCGCTGCTCTGGTTCCGCAACGGGGAATGTGCTCAGCTAGGGTTCCGCAATTGGCCCGTGTGCTGAGTTGCTGGTTCAATGCGGGGAACAATTGCGCCGAAGCGCAAGAAATCCATTTCGGTGACGCGTCAGCTCAAACCGCGAACGACAATTCGCTTCAGGGATTCGTTAGGTGATGACTGAGAAGCCACGTCGGCGTCCCCCAATTTTGTGGAGTGGAAGCCAAAGGCGATCTCGTTACTAGCTTTGGAGCTGACGGCATTAGCGAATAACCAAGGTGAGGTGGACTACAGAGAGGGAACACGAATAACCAATATTGTCACGCAATAGAATTTACTACACCATAATATGCGTGCCAGGACACATTCAACAGCATTGTTTGCATGCTGTTTCAGCTCTATGCCAAATAAACGAGCAGAGAACTACCATGGACAACAGCTTGTCACTTCTGTGAGGGGTTTGGTGGCTGCTGTAACGGCTGCAGAAACAAGCCGGGTTTGGCCTCAGAGAGAAACTGCGGAAATCCTTGAGGTGTGGCCAAGTTTGCCACGCGCTCAGGTCGTAACCCTGGCGGTAACTGCGGCATATGTGCATGATTTGGGGGGACGAAGGGAAAAGGGGCAAAGAACGGAGGAGGATGTTGCTGAGGGTGTTGCTGCTGCTGCTGCTGCTGCTGGTGCTGCTGGTGCTGCTGGTGCACTTGCGGCTGCACATGGGTCATCCAGGCAGGAAGAGACGAGCCAGAAGCTGTAGCAGGAGCTGCAACGCCAGCAGCAGCAGCAGCTGTAGCAGCTGCAGTTGTACCTTGGGATGCGGCAGGAAACGCACCACCACTAGCAGCAGAGGCAACACCGCCAGCAAAACCAGCACTGCTGGCACTTGATAGATGAATGCCTCTCTGGCTCTGCTGCTGCTGCTGCTGCTGCTGATGCTGATACGGGCTTGAGACGGGCTGTGGGCCTGATTGGGGAATTTGGAACATTGCCCCAAAGCGGAAAGGGCTACTCGCATCCTCAGCCCCTGCCGGTTCCCCCTTGCTCCCACCTCCTAAAAACGATGGTGGTACAAACGAGCCTTGCTGACTATGCTGATTATGGCCTCCTGGTTGTGCTGCCATCGCTGCTGCTGCTGACAGTGCTGCTGCTGACCCTGGTATTGCTCCTCCTGTCCCTCCTGGCCCACCTCTCTCTACCACTCTCTCTACCACCCTCTCACCCGCTCTCCCACCCTTTCCTCCCATTCTGCCTCCTGCCCCTACTCCTACCCCTGCTCGTCCTCTCCCTGCCAATGTCCCTGCCTCCTGGTTCGCCCCTCCACCATTCAACGTCCCACCACCCCCACCACGCGCACCACCCCCACCACTACTGTTCCCAATGTCGTATCCACTAGCAGCTGCTCCTGAAACCCCTCCTGCTCCTCCTCCCATCCCTCCTCCCATGCCTCCTCCCATCCCTCCTCCCATGCCTCCTCCCATCCCTCCTCCCATTCCTCCTGCTCCTCCTCCCATCCCTCCTCCCATCCCTCCTGCTCCTCCTCCCATCCCTCCTCCCATTCCTCCTGCTCCTCCTCCCATCCCTCCAAACGCCCCAGCACCAGCAGCAGCAGCGGCGGCAGCGGCGGCAGCAGCAGGTTTAAGGCTCGGGTCGGACGAGGCACGAGGGAAGGGGTCTGCTACCTTACTCGGCAGCTGTAGCAGCTGAAACCCTCCCAGCCCACCTGTAGCAGCTGCACCAGCGGCTGTAGCACCGGCGGTTGTAGCAGCAGCAGCAGCAGCTGAGGCTGTAGCAGCAGAAGCAGCCGTGAAGGGGCCAGCAGCAAAGGGAGAAGCGTGCAGGGGAGACGGTTGGGAAGCCGAGGGAGGCGGAAAGGGCAGGGAGAGAGCCGGGGCAGGGAACGGGGGAGCAAGCCCCTGGGTAGGAGCGTTGGAAGGGGGCCGGGAGGAAGAAGAGAAGTGGTGGTGAAAGCTGGGGGGGAGAGTGAAGGAGAGAAGAGGAGTGGCAGTGGGCTTCTGGGAAGATTCCATAAGCAAGGCTGAGCTGTTGCTTGCAGCAGCACCAGCAGCAGCGGCGCCACCAGAATTGACACCAGCACCAGCACCAGCAACTCCCGTGCCTATCCCTCCCGAACCAGCCCCCAAACCAGCTGCTGTGGCTGGTGCCGAACCTGCCATTGAGGCTAGGGAAGGCAGGTGCAGGGCCATGGGGGAAGGGGAGGAGGAAGAGGATGTGGTAGAGAACGGTGCAGGGGGGTACGGGGTGGAGGAGGAGAGGGAGGGGTTTGATGCAGGTAGAACCAGGGGAGGGCGTTTCCAAGGGGAGGAGCCTGGAGGGAGTGGGGGGGTTGAGTGGGGTAGAGCGGAGGAGAGAGAGGAGGGAAGTGGGAGCGAGAGAGGAGGCGAGGGGAGGAGAGGGAGGAGGGGTGAGACGAGGGAAAGGAGAGGAAATGGGGGGGCCGAGGGGAGGAGAGGGAGGAGGGGAAGGGGAGAGAGAGGGGGGGCGAGGGGAGGAGGAGGAGAGTGGTGGGCGAATGTGTGTGGATGGGTGAGTGGGGAGGAAGAGAGGAGCATTCTGTGTGCCTTGCTGCTGCTGCTGCTGCTGCTGCTGCTGCTGCTGGTGTGGATACTGCTGCTGCTGAGGGTGCTGAAACTGCTGATGCTGCTGTTGCTGCTGCTGCTGCTGCTGCTGCTGCTGATGATGATGATGATACTGCTGCTGCTGATATTGTTGCGGGTGGTGCTGCTGGTGCTGCTGGTGCTGCTGTAGCAGATCCTGCCGGCCCATCTGCTGCTGCCATGGATCCCCTGTATCTTGGGCCCTTTGGCTCGACTCCAAGGGAAACGCCCCTGGAGCACCAGGCGCAGGAGAAGGGAAGGAGTGATGACTTTGAGGCGCGTCAAAAGGGGCACCAAGGGCACCAGTGGTTGGAGAACGGAACGAGTGCTGGCTGCTGGACCTACCAAGGCCGGACACAGAAGCACTGACATGCGAGGCTGCTGGGGTAGTCGAACCAGCAGCACCACCAGCACCAGTGGCACCAGTGGCACCACCAGAATCAGAAGTACTGGGAAAGGCAGCGGTGGCGGTGGCAGCTGGGACAGCAGACGCAGGAGCAGCGGGGAAGCCAAAGGGTGGGTAGGGAGACTGCTTTTGAGTCGACTCAAAAGCGCCGGGAATGGCAGTGGTGGCAGTGGCAGCGGCGGCGGCAGCAGCGGTGGCAGCAGACACAGGAGCAGCGGGGAAGCCAAACGGAGCGTATGGAGACTGCTTTTGAGTCGGGAGCCGGGACTCAAAGGCGCTGGGAATGGGAATGGCAGCTGCAGCAGCTGTGGCAGCAGCGGTGGCTGCTGCTGCTGCTGCTGCTGCTGCTTCAGAAAAGGCCGTTGTCGTGGCAGATGAGGAAGTGTGGAGAGGCAAATAGGGCGAGTGTGGTGCGAACGGCACTGGAGGGGCCCCAAATCCCGGTGCTGTGAGCTTCCCCCTGCCTGCCCCTGCTGCTGCTGCTGCTGCTGCTGCTCCTGCTGCTGCTTCTCCTGCTGCTGCCGCTCTTGTTGCTCCTGCTCCAGCTGCTGCTGCAGCAATATTCGCTTCTGTTCCTACAGGTGCCGCTGCTCCCCCTGCTGCTGCTCCTGCTGCTGCTCCTCCTGCTGCTGCTGCTGCTCCTGCTGCTGCTGCCGCAGCAATATTCGCTTCTGTTCCCCCTCCCCCTCCTCCTCCTCCTCCGCCCCCTCCCTTGCCCCCCCCTCGGCCTCCCCCTCCTCCCCCTCCCCCTCCCCCTCCCGCTCCTCCCCCCTTTCCCCCAGCCCCTCCTCCTCCCCTCCCCCTCCCCCCCCGCCTGCCCCATGGCCGGATAGAGGCATGCTGGCGACCCTGTCAGCAGGGATGGTGGGCTCGTAGCCCTCAGGCAGCAGATCATCGATATTCTCCAGCAGCTCCTTGTACACCTTCCTTAGAGTCACCTGCACACGCACAAGCACGCAGACAAGCACAAAGACGCAGACGCACAGGCACAGGCACACACACAGACACAGAAGCGACACACACTGAGTGCTAGCGCCCCTGTCAGCGGGGATGGTGGGCTTGTAGCCCTCTGGGAGTAAATCATCACATCTTGTTTTGAGGCGCCTCAAAACTAGACTTCTATCGCGCGGCTTGTAGCCCTCTGGGAGTAGATCATCACATCTTCTAGAAGCTCCTTGTACACCTTCCTTAGAGACACCTGCACACATAGTCACCCACATAGATATACGCACATACAGGAGCCCTTCTTAGTGCTGCTGCACTATGCTGCTGATGCTGCCCCTGTGCTAACTAACCCGTTTTGCACCTCACTTAACAGAACCATACTGCACCGCACTGAACCGTAAAGCACGCACCTCTGTGAGCCCTGTGGCCTTGCAGATCTCTGTCTGCGTCCGCCTCTTGTCCTCCAGCTGGCACGCCAGGTAGATGGCCGCCGCAGTGACGCTGCTGCTGATGCTGCCCCTGTGCTAAGTAACCCATTTTCACCGCACTGAACCACATCAATTCATGCTGAACCACACTCAACCGCACTGCACTGTACTGAACCGCACTGCACACACCTCTGTGAGTCCTGTGGCCTTGCAGATCTCTGTCTGCGTCCGCCTCTTGTCCTCCAGCTGACACGCCAGGTAGATGGCCGCCGCACTGACGATGATGATGCTGCCCATACTAGCCCAATTGCACTGCACTGAATTGCATCAAACCGCACTAAATAGCACTTAACCGCACTGCACCGCACTCCACCACACTAAAACGCACCTCGGTGAGCCCTGTGGCCTTGCAGATCTCTGTCTGCGTCCGCCTCTTGTCCTCCAGCTGACACGCCAGGTAGATGGCCGCCGCACTGATGCTGATGGGGTTGCGTCGCGTGCAGAAGGACTTGGAGATTACGACCTCACCCACGTGGGTTGCCAGGTCCTGCAGCGGAGGGGGACCGAGGGGAATCAGTCAGAGCGGAGAAGGTGAAGCAGGAGGAAGAAGGTACGAGCCACACCAAGGTAGATGGCCGCCGCACTGCACTGATGCTGATGGGGTTGCGGCGCGTGCAGAAGGACTTGCTTATTATGACCTCACCCACGTGTGTGGCTAGGTCGGTCCTGAATGGAGACAAGGGGAACCAGAGGGAAAACACAAGGTAGATGGCCGCCGCACTACACTGATGCTGATGGGGTTGTGGCGCGTGCAGAAGGACTAAGAAATCACCACTTCGCCTACATGTGTTGCTAGGTCCTGCAGCGAATGGGAAGGGAAGGGATAGGGACCAAGGGAAGACAGAGGAACGAAGGGGAGCGAGAGGAGAGGAAAAGTAAACGGTAGATGGGTGCGGGCGCCTCAAAAATAGACTCCTCATCCAAGGGAAGACAGAGGGACGAATGGGAACGAGAGAGGAGGAAAAGTAAACGGTAGATGGGCGTGGGCGTGATCAGGGGTCAAACAACACACTCACTCACACTCACTACCTGACAGGGAGAGTGAGTGAGTGAGTGAGAATGAGTGAGCAGCAACAGGAGGCGCACTGACCTGGGTTGACTTCCTCAGCTGCAGAATGGAAGCGAATCTCGGCATGTGGAAGGACACCGAGTTAGAACTCACCGGCTGCTGCAGCCCCAGCACCTCCATCACGCCCTTGAGGCTCCTTCCCAGCTCCTTCGCCACTACACAGTGACCTAGCTTGGTGCACACACTAACCTGGGTAGACTTGCGCAGCTGCAGGATGGACGCGAATCTCGGCATGTGGAAGGAGACTGAATTGCTATTCACCGGCTGCTGCAGCCTCAGCACCTCCATCACGCCCTTGAGACTCCTCCCCAGCTCCTTAACCGCGATCCCCGCCACCAGGGAAACTTCCTGGAGGGTGCGCGCCTCCTGCGCCTCCCGCATCGCCTGCACCACCGCTGCTGTGGCCAGCGCCTCGATGTTGCGGTTGCGGGCTCCCCCTGCTGAGACCACGTAGTCCCGGAATAGGGTAACCGCATGATCGGTTATGCTCTGGTTGATCTCCAGGAGCCCACTCACTTCGAGAATCTGTATGGGTGGGAGTGGCAGGCAAGAGAGCAGCATGAGACACTTCCTAGAGGGCGCACGCCTCACACTCTTCTGTTTCTCCTGCCTCTCACAGCATGGTCGGTGATGCTCTGGTTGATCTCCAGGAGGCCACTCACTTTGAGTATCTGTACTGTACAGGTGGAAGGGGGGAGGGAGGGAGAGAGGATGATGCTGCAGTTCCTGCCCCCCCCTGCTGTGAGACCACGTAGTCCCGGAATGGGGTAACCGCGTGGTCCGTGATGCTCCGGTTGATCTCCACGTGACCATTGACCTCCAGAATCTGAGGGGAGAGTGGGGGGAGGGGCGGGGGAGCACTCTGGACTGGACTTGCACCACAAAGCCACTGAAGAAATTCACTGCAAGGTCGGTCGGTGATGCTTCCGTTGATCTCCACGAGACCAGACCACTGAACTCCAGAATCTGAGGGGAGAGGGAGGGAGGGGTGGGTAGCAACACACTCATTTTGCGTGCAAAAAATCGGCCGCGCCCACAGCGCTCCCACCACTCCCCCCAGGGCTACCCGTGTAGAGTACAGCCCCCCACCACTCCCACCACCCCCCCCAGGGCTCCCCCAGCGCTCCCACCACTCCCCCCAGGGCTCCCCCAGCGCTCCCACCACTCCCCCCAGGGCTCCCCCAGCGCTCCCACCACTCCCACCATCCCCCCCAGGGCTCCCCCCAGGCCCGATTAACCGCTTCATCTCAGCCATAGTGCCCACAGCACTCCCCCCCGACCCTCCCGGGCAGCCGGTGTAGAGCACCGGGCCAATCAAGCGCTCCATTTCCGCCAGTTGACCGGAGAAAGAGAGGGAGGCGGCGGAGAAGAGGGGCCTTCTGCGGAGCCCCCCACTTTGAGAGACTCACCTGGAAATAGGCACGCAAAAAATCAGTTGTGCCCACAGCACTGCCCCCTGACCCTCCCGGGCAGCCGGTGTAGAGCACCGGGCCAATCAGGCGCTCCATCTCCGCCAGTTGACCGGAGAAAGAGAGGGAGGCGGCGGAGAAGAGGGCGGGCCGGACTCGAGAGAGAGCGACGAGAAGACATCGAGAAATTGGTCGGATGGATCGTCACCCTCTGACAAAAGAGAGTTGGGGCTTGTGCCCTCTTCCGCCTCCTCCTCTTCCTCCCCCTCTTCTTCCTCCTCCTCCTCTTCTTCTTCCTCCTCCTCCTCTTCCTCCTCCTCCTCTTCCTCTTCCTCCTCTTCTTCCTCCTCCTCCCCCGCTTCCTCTTCACCCTCTTGCGTTTCCGAGACTAGACCCCCGCCCATCGCTTCATCTCCACCGTCCATCCTCCCACCCGTCGCGTCATCTCCACCGTCCATCGCATCCATATTCAGATCAAAATTCAGATCAAACCCTACCAGCGGCTGACTCGCCTCCTTCTTCCCCCCCTTCCCTCCTGTCTCTTCCCGCTTCCCCCTCAACACTCCCCCTTCCCCTCCCCCTTCCCCTCCCCTTCCCCTCCCCCTCCCCCTCCCTCTGCAACCCCCCTTCCTCCATCTCCACTTTGACCCCTGGCTTTACGACGGATACCACGCCCTTTCCCGTTTCCCCCTTAAAAACGGCTCCTGCTGCAGTCATATCTGCTCCTGCTGCAGTTATATCTGCTCCTGCTGCTGCTGCTGCTGCTGCTGCTGCTGCTGCTGCTGTCTCTGGCGCTGCGTTGTCTCTCTCGGTTCCACCAGCTTTAACTTCCTCACCTCCTCCGGCTTTAATCTCCACCATTTTTTTCGCGGCTGCTTGTACCTCGTCCGGGCGAAGCTTCGCGTGCGCGAGCACGTCCCTAGCGGGGAGGCAGAAGGAAGCTTCCTGGACGGCGCGCGGAACGAACAGCAGCGGAATGATCCGCCGCTCCGCGACGATCCGCGCGCAGCTCGCGCACGCCACCAGCACCGTCTCGTACGGCGCCGGCGCCGGCGGCTGATGCGATGCATGATGCGCCGTATTATGCGGCGTAAAATGCGGCGTGGGGTGCGGGTGATGGTGGTGATTGGGTTGGCCCTGCGACGGGTTCTGCGACGGATTCGGCGCCGGACCGTGCAGAGCGGGAAGGTTCCGCGCACCATCCCGGCTGCCGCAGAAAGGGCACTTGTCCTCCATTTCTCCCCTGGAAGCAGCTCTAGTAAGGAGTCAGGACGCCTAAATCGACTCGAACTCGAGATTTAATAACAAGTGACGAGGGGAAGACAGGCCAGAACGCTTTTTTCCGCGGTTTTGACGAGCTACCATAGACGGCGTGACTGTTAGGGCGTGTGGGATGAGGTTCGAACCAGCCTCGAGTTCGTACTTTCGAGAGGTCAAAACTGATTTGATGGGTTTCAGTCATATAATACAACGGTACAGAGTGGTGACGGTAACGTCACCAAAAGGTGGAAAATCATACGCGCCCTTATTGTGACCTAGTTGCTGCTGAAACAAGCGGGGAAACAAGAAACCAAGGTGCGTTTGACCGGGTAAGTGCTGTAGCAGTTGCAGACTAGACTATCTCCCCTAAAATCTACCAGCTCCGTACTGTATTCCCTAGGTGGGGAGGGCTGAGGGATGATTCTGGAGCCCCGGGTGTGACCCGATGGTCTTGGGTCTCGCGACTTCTGACGGCTGTTGATTGGATACACACGACTAGCTGGCAAAATACAGTGGCGAGCAATGTTGTTAAACGGTCGACCGAACGTCACCGGCCAATGCACAGTCTCAATTCACTTTTGAGACTCACTTTTGCGACGAGATTACTGTACCTGTGTGTGCACAATCGTCAAAAGACCCGCAGTTGAGTCTTCAACCCGCGGCTTCTTCGACCGCGGGTCTGTCTGGGCAGGTTTGGAAGCCACCAAGCGAATGTTTGGGAGTCATTAGAGGGGACCCGCTGAACCTTCTGAAGGAAGGCTCCCTAAATCCGAGCTAGGGCTCCATACCGCGGGCAGAGCCCAAAACTCGCTAAAAGGGCCCAAACCAGGGCCAGCGGAAACCTCCACGATGTCGGGTCATGAGGGAAATGGTTTACAATGTTGGGGAGAATTCAGGCAAATTTGAAGTTTGTGATCTAAGCGGTTGCTATTTACTGTGTTCTGTAACGGATGTACCGTAAAGAGGATCCACGTTCGAGTCAACGCACCCCCCCTCCCTCCAAGTGGAGAAGTATATTCGTTCCGCAAGAGATCTCGAGGTGCACTCGCCGACACTCATGATCGCATGTGATACAACGGTACGTGCTACACTCTTCTAACGGGTACAGAGAGAAAGGTGCTTCCCCAAATCCCCCACTACTTCCCTAGAAGACCCCTTTTTCCACACTGGTGTGGGCCTTGCCTTACCTATTTGGCAACTAGTTGGAGCTAGTTAGTCCATTGCTCCCCCTCGCAGCGCAGGCAAATCTAGTATCGGCGGGCTTAAAGCTCGTGCTTCTGCTGCATATTTAGATTCCGATCGGTTTCTAAGACGCTTCACGAAGTGTTCTTCTGGATCTCTCCCCGCATTGGTGGGACGATCGCGCTTTTCTCCTATCTTCGCCAGCTCTTCCCACCGAGTATGGGATTGACACCCTTAGGGTCGCTGTTAGGCTCGATGTGCTACCCTTTTGCTGCTAGCTTTTAGCCGTCGCTGGGTTCAAGCTGGTCGATTTCATTTGCTAGCTTTTAGCTGCTAGCTTGTAGCTGATAGATTCGGTAATTCGAGCCAGATAATGGCATCCGTCCTTATTGCCGTGATAGGTTTTTTAAACCTATCCCATGCTAGCCTCGATTATTCGGGCCAGGTGATGAAATCCTCTTATTGCCTTCACATGGCTGATCCGTCCTTATTGTCTTCACATGGCTGATCCGTCCTTATTGCCTTCACATGGCTGATCCGTCCTTATTGCCTTCACATGGCTGATCCGTCCTTATTGCCTTCCCATCCAACCTGTTATCCATCTACGAATTCACATCCCCTTCATTCGCCTGGTTTTGCTCCGATCTGTCCTCTGCGCTCGCACCACGGTTTAATCAGATCCACCTCTCGCTGCTGATCGCTCGCTGATCCGTGGCTTATGTGCCGGTAATCATGGTTTCTAGTAAACTTAAAATACTCCTGCTGGCAATCATGCGATTCCCGGATTTTCCGCCGACAGCCATGATTTCTCGTCTGCCTCCACTTTCTCTTGCTTCCGTTCGAGTCTGCCGTTCGGCTCTGCCGTTCGGTTCTGCATGCAAAATCTCGGCTGCGCCTTACCTTTCCCCCAACCCCTCACGCTAGAACCATGTCGCAGCAGGAGCAGCAGCTTCCGAGCAGCACGAGAATCAAAGCGATTTTCTTATTCCCCCCCCTCTCCCTTCCCCTTCCCCCATCGTTCCCCCCCACCCCCTCCCCCCCCGGCCGCTTCCCCTCCCTCCCAAACAGCACCATGTCGCAGCAGGAGCAGCAGCTTCCGAGCAGCACCAGCGCCGCGGAGGGCGCTGACGTGGACGAATCAGGGTTGCTGCAGTCGCCTTCGTCTGCCAGCCCCTCCCCCTCCTTCGCGTCCTCGTCTCTCTACGTGGGCGATCTCGATCCGAGTGTTACAGAGGCCCAACTCTTCGATCTCTTCTCGCAGGTACAGGAGGGGAGTTGGATTGCAGGCACGGGAATGGTACTAGTATATTGACTCAGCAGTCGCCTCCTCTTCGCCCCCTTCTTCGCGTCCTCGTCTCTCTACATGGGCGACTTTGGATCCGAGTGTCGCAGAGGCCCAACCCAACTCTTCGGGCTGTTCCTCACAGGGACAGGGGGTTTGATTGGTAAACTGACTCAGCCACCTCCTCCTCCTCCTCCCCCTCCGTGTCCTCGTCTCTTAACGTCGGCGACTTGGATCCGAGTGTTACTGAGGCTCATCGCCTCGATCTGTTCTTAGAGGTAGCGCTACGATCGATTACCTAAGCACATCAGGTACTGGGGTCCTAGGTAGCGCCAAATCGCCTTCGTCCGCGAATCTCGCGCCCTCCTCCGCATCCCCGTCTCGCGCCCTCCTCCGCATCCCCGTCTCGCGACGTGGGCGATCTCGATCCCAGTGTCGTAGAGGCGCCGCTCTTCGATCTCTTCTCGCAGGTACTGTAAAGGTAGCAGTGAGCTGCCTCGAGGAACCCCCCCCTCCCCCAACCCCCCCCCTCATCCGCGCTTTCGCCCTTTTTTTGGGGGCGATCTCGATCCCAGCGTCACAGAGTTGACTTTTGAGTCGACTCGAAAGTCATCTCGATCCCAGCGTCGCAGAGGCGCAGCTCGTGAACCTGTCCTCGCAGGTAGCCCTACGAGGTGACTCTTGATTGAGTCGACTCAAAAGTCATCCAGAGGCGCAGCTCTTGAACCTGTCCTCGCAGGTAGCCCTACGAGGTGACTCTTGATTGAGTCGACTCAAAAGTCATCCAGAGGCGCAGCTCTTGAACCTGTCCTCGCAGGTAGCCCTACGAGGTGACTCTTGATTGAGTCGACTCAAAAGTCATCCAGAGGCGCAGCTCTTGAACCTGTCCTCGCAGGTAGCCCTACGAGGTGACTCTTGATTGAGTCGACTCAAAAGTCACCCAGAGGCGCAGCTCTTCGACCTATCCTCGCAGGGAGCCCTACGAGGTGACTTTTTATTGAGTCGACTCAAAAGTCACTCAGAGGCCCAGCTCTTCTATCTGTTCTGTTTTTTAGATTTCTAAAAAACAAAACACATTTTTGAGAATTCTCAACAACAAAAGTCACCCAGAGGCGCAGCTCTTGGATCTGTCCTCGCAGGTAGCCCTACGGTTACTTCTCTCAGGTGCTGGGGTTGAAGTGACCGTGTGACGTATGGGTCGTGTGACGTATGGGTCGACTCATAAGACTCATAAGAGCCATACCTCTTCTCCTTCGCATCCTTGTCTCTCGACGTGGGCGATCTCGATCCCAGCCGCGTCCCTCCTTGCCGTTGCCTCTTCCCTCCCCCCTCCCCCCTTCCCCCTTCCCCCTTCCCCCTTCCCGGTCCCAGGTGGGGCCAGTTGCGTCTATCCGCGTGTGTCGCGACATGGTCACTCGCCAGTCGCTTGGGTACTCGTATGTCAACTTCAGCAACACGCAGGACGGTGGGTCCCTCTCTCACGCCCTTCTGCTCGTAGATATGCCACGTACATGCACACACACACACACACACACACACACACACACACACACACACACACACACACACACACACACACACATGCACACACACACACGCACATGATCACACACACACGCACACACACACACACGCACACACACACACAGACACACACACGCGCATGCACACCCACACACACACCCGCCAATCGCTGGGGTACTCGTATGTCAACTTCAGCAACACGCAGGACGGTGAGACTCCATTCCCCTGCGCGCTCGCCCACACACGAACTCACACGAGCGCACACGCTCGCATGTTCTCACAATGGTGCTGACCTCGCTACTCCTCTCCACCCCTTTCCTCCACGTCCCGGGGGCCCTCTGGTTGCAGCTGTGCGAGCCCTTGACCTTTTGATCGTCACGACGGTGGCCGGGCGGGCGGTCCGTATGCATCTTGTTCAAAAGGTCAAGGGCGCACAGCGATTCCCCTGTGTCTCAAACGCCTCGTTTTGAGGCGCCACGAGAGTTTTGAGGCGCCACGAGAGTTTTGAGGCGCCATGAGAGTTTCCTTTGAACAAGATTACCATCAAGATTACCCTACAAGCTCACAAGAGTTTCTTTTGAGCAAGAAAACTTCTCCTAACTAAAACAGTGTTCTACAGCCTGCAGCCACGTATGGCTAAAACCACCACGAAGTTGTGCTTCCCCGGTGGCCGGGCGCCCCGTGCGCATCATGTTTCCCATTGAGACCCATCCATCGGGCCCAGCGGCACCGGCAATATTTTTAGGCACCATTTGATGTTTCCCATTGAGACCCATCCATCAGGCCCAGCGGCGCTGGCAATATTTTTAGGCACCATTTGATGTTTTCCATTGAGACCCATCCATCAGGCCCAGCGGCACCGGCAATATTTTTAGGCACCATTTGATGTTTTCCATTGAGACCCATCCATCAGGCCCAGCGGCGCTGGCAATATTTTTAGGCACCATTTGATGTTTTCCATTGAGACCCATCCATCAGGCCCAGCGGCACTGGCAATATTTTTAGGCACCATTTGATGTTTCCCATTGAGACCCATCCATCAGGCCCAGCGGCGCTGGCAATATTTTTAGGCACCATTTGATGTTTTCCATTGAGACCCATCCATCAGGCACCATTTGATCCCCCCCCCCTCCCCTCCTCTACCCGCCCCCCCTTTCCAATCGTGCAGCCGTGCGAGCCCTTGACCTGCTCAACTTCACAGCAGTGGCCGGGCGCCCCATGCGCATCATGTTTTCGCATCGGGACCCATCGATCAGGCGCAGCGGCACCGGCAACATCTTTATCAAGGTGTGTACATCAGCGGC